TGATTCATGGTGTTTCATGCCTTCTTTCCCCAAAACAGGTTTCCCACTGCTTCTTTCAGCAACCTGTGCATTGCATTTCAGCCGCGCGAGTGAAACCATTTTCAACAATTCAAATCACCGGACCCTTTCGCCTTACTGTTACATCACCTTCCTTCTCAGCTTGGGAACTGAGCTAACTGAAAACCAATGTCGAAGTGTGTCCACCTCTGTAACTAAGAGTTTCTGTTTGTTTCTCAACATTCAAGTCGCAGGGGCGTGCGGCATCTGTGGTCCACTGCACGCAACGAAGCTACGACCACAGATGGGAAGGGATCAAGGACGCTTGATCCTGTACCTGCGACCAAACACATTGACTCCACTGGTTCCCCTCGGCCGCTGTCTTTTGTTTCCATGGTGGCTTGCTCACGATATCTCCCTAAACCCTTTCCTGCCGCATTTCTGCAGCGTGCCTTCCGCAGATGAGTGAGAAACATGTGTTCAAACACCTTCAAATGCCTGGACACTTCACCTTGCGCTTCCATCGCCTTTTTTCCAGTTGGGAATACATTAACTGCAAACCAATGTCAAATTGTGAACCGCGCAGTTGTCCCACTTGGGTGCTGGGTGTGATCCCCGTCACTGGGGCGCTGTCTTCACTCCGGAGTACCGTTTAACAGATTCAGCGTTTTTCTGCATACGTTGGATTCTCTTAACCGATTTTGTTTGACTTCTGGATTCCCGAAACCCAATGCCGTCAGGCCTCCGGCCACTTTTCCACCTTTCGAGTGAGCTTGTGAGTTTGACATGTCCAGTTGCGACTCACCTTCCACGCCGGGGGGCTTACGGCCATATGTATGTGTCACACATGCACATCCACGCACCCCCCCCACTTTGCAACCGAATTCGTGCTTCTATCCCACCCGCTATCTAGGGTTACAGAAGGAAATGGTACTCGACACACTTGTGTGTCGGTACCTTTCCTTCTGTTTCTCCTTTTCTACTCCTAGCTACCCGGGCGGCTCAAGACGAATGTCCCGCCCGCTAACTAGTGCATTTAATTCATACGGCTAAGTAGTCAGTAACTAGCAGATTACTGGGGTAAGGGATCAAAATAAAGATAAAAATAGAATCAAAAAATATTCAATGGGGATCAGTAAAAAAAATAAAAAGGTAATCAAAAAAATATTCTAGCCCACTGAGGATGGTTGGGGTAGTAGAGGAGAGTGTATCTCCCTCCTAGTACAGAGCTATTTCCACTGGTGAACCACTTTTCGAGTAGGGCTACTCAATGACTGGACGGCAACCTTATCGTTGGGTACCTACTTTCTTCCCAGGGAGCTGCCTCTAGTAGAAAGCAATCAAGCCTCTATTTGCGCAAGCAGGGGACCAGGAGATCGACAGACGAGCGCCGTAGGAGAGCAAAAGACCAGCGGACCAGGAGACAGAAGGACTAGGATACCAGGGGACCAGCGGACCACAGGACCAGAGGACCAGGAGACCGGAGGACTAGGGGACCAGTGGACTAAAGGACCAAGGGACCAGGGGACCAAAGGACCAGTGGACCAGAGGACCAAGGGACCAAAGGACCAAGGGACCACATTACCAGAGGACCCGCAGACCACAAGGCCAGGAGAGCAGCAGAAGAGGCCTATCAAGGAATATTTTTTGATTCGCTTTTTATTTTTTTGATCCTGTTTATATTTTTTTGATGCTCTTTTTATTTTTTTGATACCTATGCCGATTTCGTAACTAGCGTCACTACACCTATCTTTCTCTCTTGCTTTTGCGTTTCCCTTTCTGTCTTTCTTTTCTTTCTTTCTTTCTTTCTTAGGCTTTTTAGGTGGTTAGTGAGTTCCTCCAGAGCGCCGATATCGGCGTTCTGTGTGTGTCCACCTCTGTAACTCAGAGTTTCTGTTTGTTTCTCAACTTTCAAGTCGCAGGGGCGTGCAGCATCTGTGGTCCACTGCACGCAACGAAGCTACGACCACAGATGGGAAGGGATCAAGGACGCTTGATCCTGTACCTGCGACCAAACACATTGACTCCACTGGTTCCCCTCGGCCGCTGTCTTTTGTTTCCATGGTGGCTTGCTCACGATATCTCCCTAAACCCTTTCCTGCCGCATTTCTGCAGCGTGCCTTCCGCAGATGAGTGAGAAACATTTGTTCAATCATCTTCAAATGCCTTGGACACTTCACCTTGCGGTTCCATCGCCTTTTTTCCACTTGGGAATAGATTAACTGCAAACCAATTATGTCAGAGTGTGTGTGAAATGATGATCAGCCTTGACCCAACAAACCTCATTGGTCTCAAGTTTCTCAAGGTGTCTGGACCTCTTTGCTGTCGACCAATGAAGCTCTCAAAACTTGGTGGAAATCGAGGATCTCCAGCTAGAAGAGATGAAAGCAAATCTGCTACCCTATACAAAGCTGCATGTCAAATTCCCTAACTATTGGGACTTGATAAATCTTCCACTCTGGCTCAAACACTTAATGCCACATCTACGGTCCATTCCGCGCCATGAGGCCAGCATCCGGCACGTTGGCACTTCCAGCCAAATTTGCAAACTTCTCGACGGCCTCAAGTTGAGGCAACATACAAAGCTTCTATGAACTTCTAAAGAGCCGAGCTGACCGAATACATCCGAATACTATTATTCAGCTGGATTCTGGATGCGTTGGCTCAAGTGGAGAATCCACTCGTTCAATTTCATGTGTCACATATATCACTCATATATGTCCACACCTGGACCCTTTAACAGGTGGCTTTGACTGTTCCACGTATCTCCATATATATATATATAATGTTCCATGTATGGCACCTGATGCAATCCAGTTCTAGTAGAACACACCTTTAACGGTAGTATATATCCAAATAATTGCAAAAAGTATGTCACGATGTCCCTCCGTTCAAACAATGACTGGGTAATTAATTAGGATCAGCGATGACCGAAACACGGGGGTTCACCAGGTGATTGTTGTTTTTCTCCCAACGTATTTCGACAGCAGTGACCCTGACCCTACAAGGGTCTGTCTTTCTTTGGCCGTTCTGTCTTGACGAAGAGGTGATGGTTTTCTTCTGATCCGCTGACTTTTTGTGGGGAATCCGTCCATCGTCCATGTCTATCCCCAAATGAGGAATGCAAAGTGTATACAGCATCGGACTGGCCAACCATCCAGTCATGGAAGAAACGCTTGAACTCACGGCTCCACGGACCGGCGCGAATCGAGATGACAGGGCGTCGCCCAACGACCTCCTGAAGGCTGAAGTGCGGCCAGCATCTCAGGGTCTGTGACCTGCGAGAGGAAGTCAGTTGACAAGGCAGTTGAGCCGATTCCTAACACAGGATTGACAACAAGTGGTTCCCCCACTCGTAGCTGGGATTTGGGCAATTATGACAATCTCGGGTGCAGGAGACGCGGCAAGTTGACCAGGTGCTCTTAGGCGGGGATCGAGGATCCGAGGCTTTCTTGGAACATCAATCTACCAATATGACCAGTTTACTCTCCACGGACATGTCACCCACACTTCACCCAAATGTTGCCTGCTTTTTGAACCTCTCTCTACAAGTAGGGCATAATTCTCCTCCGTCAAATTTCTGCAAAATAGAACTGGCCCCAACCAAACAATACAGAATGGAGATCCCACGAAACAGCATGGTGCAAGTGGCTTGAACATCTCTGCCAGCGCGCCGTGCGTTGGGTGGCAGCCTGTAGAGCAGCGAGTGGTTGGGCCCTGTGGGGAAATCATTGGGAATACATGGGAAAACACTCAGACATGGAAGTGGACTCCACCATCGTTGTAAAGGAAAGGTGTGGAACTTCCAGGGGTCGATATGCCATTGCCATAGTTGTTGGAGGAACCAATTCGCAAGCAAATCCCTTCTTGCGTGAATGTCGCGAATGGATCCCTTCACTGATCTTCACCATACCTGGACTTCAAACGAAATGTCCTGCCTGCAAGCAGTAGCGTCTTGTTAGTAGTAGCTATTTGCTACTAGTAGAAATGCCCTTTGTTACTAGTAGCGATGCCCTTGTTACTAGTAGCGTCTTGTTACAAATGCTTTAAGTTTTGAGAGCCCCTGTCGCCTCACATCTTTGTATCTTCAGGTTGGGGTGTTCTGAACTGAACACATCCAGTTTGACTAGCGCAAGAAAAGACCCACATGACGTGCGTCCCCTCATCATTTTGTCATGTGTGTCCTGCATTTGTATCATTTGTTATGAGCACGTGCTTCCTGAGAATGGCATGGCCATTTATGGATCCCCTCCCGGCCACTTCAAATTGTCTGCATGAGTGTGCAGTGTCTTTTATATGTTATTTCCTGTGTACCTCTTGTTCATTTCTGTTTTGGGGTGGAGTGCGGCGTGCCAATCGAGGCTGTGGTTGGCAAGTCATGACTCAACAACCTCCGCAACCACAACCAACAACCAACCAGCCAGCCAGCCAACCAGCCAGCCAACAGTCAACAATAACCACCACCAACAATAACCAACCACCACAACAACAACAAATCATTCAATTACAGTAACAAAATAGAGCGAGAACATACACCAAGTCCACCACAACAACAACAACAACGACAACAACAACAACACGGGCATGCAGCTTGCACACATCTTTAAGAATCTGCGTTTGCATCTAATGCCCCCCCCATGTCTGCCTCGGTGGGTTCACTGGGGCCTGGCGTCGGTGGACCGACGCGTTTCGTCACTGGAGCTCGAGCCGTATGGGTTTCGAACATGACCAAAGTCTGGCCGATTTGTACCAGTCTGCAGCTGAGACACACTCATGGTTGGAAGATCACATGGAACCTGAATGAATGGACCTTTGGAAGGCCAAATCCTCTATATACGACCCAGTGGTTTTCAGGTTCCATGCTAATCTTCCAGAGCGGAGGTAGTTTTGGCCTTGGCTGAGAGTCGATCCTCTTGTTCGCCACACCGGTAGAAATGCTTGCCGCAACCCCATCCTGGGTTTTAGTGGACAGTCATGATGGTCACTGGAGACCTCCACTTGAAAAAGAGAATGCACAGGATATCTGCTGATCCTACTCCTACTGCTACAAGAAATCGCCGATGGATTTCACAAGCTGAACCCGATTTTACCACAGCGGTTTTCCTTAAAAATTACTCCCCTGCAGATTAACGTGAGTAAGCATGGAAGCAAACCCATGTCAGTCCGGATCCGAAGTCTTCACTGGTCCATTTGGTGAGCATGTCTCCCAGCCGACCGTGGCCATGTCCATGTTCGAACGTCTGGCGCTCGCACAACGAATAGGGGTGGCTGTCTCCATGCTCTAGGGTTGGCCATGGCCATGTCATGTTACTGTCTGTTTTTCAGAAAAGCTGTTGGTCCTACTCCGAAGTGCATTAAAATTCCAACGTCTGCTCCGCCTGCCAAGAAATTGGCATCAACACCACGTTCAGCGGCTGCCATATATCGATGAATGAGGAGAAAATGGGTTCTAAACTGGAAGTCCAATGGAAGTGATCGGACATGCAGTCCCGTTGTCAGGCCTCAATGTGAGAAGGTATGCTGCCTGCGCTGCGACCGCTTGGTATATTTACTGGAACCGTGAGGCGGCCATTCACCCCTCCCCAATTCCAAGGGTTTTGGTATTCGGCCACGGTGATGACTTGGTTTACCTGGGGTAGGACCAAGGACGCTACTAGGGGCTCCTGGCCTTACTACTAGGAACAAGAAGCTACTCGAAACAAGAAGCTACTAGGAGCTTATCCACCATGACTTCTTTACTCCATGAGGGTGTCGGTGCTCATCCAAGCGCATGGCTTGCATCTGGATCAGAATGTCATCATGTGCATGTCGCAAAGCGTCCAAGAAATTGCCAAGAAACGACAAACATGTTGATTCCCCAAAGCCCTGTGCACTTGTCTGATTGTTTCGAGAGTATGGTTACCCCCATGGCAGCTTTACTACTATTATGGACTGGAGGTCTCTTCTCCTGAAAGTGGTCAAATCTACGATTGTTGCCCCACAACAGTAAAATACGGTATCCTTATCTTGTCACATGAGGGTTTTAGCATGTCCTTGGCCTCAAAGGCCGGTTGGAATGAGTGAGGGTGAAGAACCATCTTGTGGCACCAGCAATCTTTGGACCAGCAAAATTGCTTGTCCGGTCCTTTCCGCTCACCAGCCTGAGTGGGCAGGGATTATCGCACTCTCAGCAGGAAGCATGACCAAAACATGAAGCACATGAAGGGCCAGGGACACAAGCTTGCAGCACTCTCACCCCCAAATAAGAAACTGCTGGCTTGGATGGTGAGATGTAGTGAGTCGTCGTGATGTAGTGGGTAGGAATTGCTGTGGCTTCAATATCCATGTTGGCCATGTTGGCCGCATGAACCCTGCAAAGCCTTTCAACGGCATGCCTGTTCCAAAGCCAAAGCCCTCCACAATCATCAGATTTGCTGCTAGCGCCATGACTGAGAAACACATGGTGACTTAAGCTTCTGAGCCTGGCAAGGATCGGTGCGTAAGTGGTGAAACCGTCCAGTGGCAAACTTGTAAGCAAAACATCCCGATCCAATCCAATTGCGTCTAAAGTCTAGAGTCTCAATCATTTGAACATCATAAGTTGTCCATAAAAAGCCAAGTTGCAACCAAAAAGTGGGTCAGTTTATGTCAGTTTTCACAAGTGCATTACATCATTCATCATCAAAGAAGAATATAAAACATGAAAACAACTCACCGGCAGCGTGTATGTTGGTGTCGAGGCAAACGTTCTCGTTCCCAAACACGGTGAAAAAAGGGTCTGGGTCCGGGTCAATATATATATATATATCCATCGCCTTCTCGAAGAGTTCAGCCCAGCTATATATGTATTCATTTATTTATGATGTATATAATGTAACATAACTATATGTATTTATATGCAAATCTATATATATATATGAATTCAGGGTGAAATAGCCTGAGTACAATTGGCAATCGGATGCAATCGGTACAATTGTGCTCAAGCTTTTGCACACTCTGAATATATATGTGACGTGCCACAACATTGCAACATTGCTTCTTGTCCACCAATGAACACTTCAGTTCCCGATGGATGAATGATGATGAATGTAGTTCAGGAATTCTCATGCATCAACAAAGGGCGGCCTACCAAGAGCAGCAACGACACCGTTTAGCTGAACAATGAGAGACGAGAGAATAAAAGAAACTGCATCTACGTCCACAATGACATCACCAAACTGAGACTCGGGAAGGTCCATGATGCCTATGAACGTGACAGCTCTACAAACCCGTTCTCAAACCGGTTCAACCAAGTTCTTTTTCATGCAATATCCGTGGTCTGCCGCAAATGCGAGAGCCAAACATGTGTATCACAAGTCTGTTGGAAAACCTCCATGTCTCAAGGTCGACTGCAACGACATTGAAAACATCGTCAACACCATGCTTTTCATTGGGAAACACGTGCAAGTTCTTGCTTGCAACCTGTGTAATTCACACAGTGAAACGACTGTGATTACCATTCAAGAGAACGACCGCACGGATTGCCCGGAGCACTGCGGCAACCCATTAGACAACCAAAAACAAATGGTGCTCACTCCATGGGCTCTTCACTGTGAGACCTCAAATAACGAAAACCGGTTGATTCCTGTAATGGTTCAATGGTGGAGGCGAAGGCCCCGCACCACGCAAACATCCAAGGCCATCCACACCAGGACCTGGGCTCACCCAGGTCATGGCGAGTTGGGACGCCTACAGAGCGATGGACATGTCCAAGCAACCGAGTTGGCCTGGTAGGCCCTTCTTCAGATTGCACTGAACATTGCCACAAAAAAGGTGTTGATTCACAGGAACTGTAACAATGCTGATTCTAATCATGTTCAGCAAGGGACATAGCCACACTGTGCCGGAGAGTAGGTAAATTCTATATACAGTATAGCGGCTAGCGTATACACATGCAATTGGTCGCTGCGTCGTGATATGCTGTGTTATGCAGCAGCTGAAGCACCCTACTACATCATTCAAACTCTAGCAAAGTCCCCAAAGGCCAAATGAATTAAGCTGCCATCCTTCTCAATCTTCTCAATTTTTCGGTGCTCAGGTTGAACTCTGTCTTTTCACTTTTCACTGTTCAGGGATTCGGGAAGAAAATGGAAGATCTGGGTAACCCATCTCCAATGGGCTACAGCCACGAGTGCCCTTTTCTTCTGGGTGTTCGCTCATTACGCGCGTCCAAGGCTTTCGGATCACGAGCCATGATGTCTTCCGGGCGCGGAATGCCATGTCTTTCGCAGGTGGCACATTTTCAATTCTAGGTCTAAGTGCAGCATGTGCTCCAAACATATCATGTTAAACGACTATAGTAATCGATATAACTACTTTGAGGGCTTCATTTGGCATGACCACTTGGCCTAGCTGGCCGAGGATCTTGTGCAGCCACTGACCTTCCAAAAGGCTCCTCCCACTCGGGAAGACATGACATCAACAGGGAAGCGCCACGACTCTCAAGTGAACCCCCTTCACTGAAGCCTGGCGAGGGCGCAACGTGAAGGACTACCAAACCGGCATGAGGGAGGTCTCTTGGCATGACAACAGGTGGAGAAATCTTCTCGTGCTGACTTGGTGAAGCTAAAGGTAAGCGATATCTTGCAGGTCAGCCAACTCATGATCTGGCAAGATCGCCAACAACGGTCAATCCAAAGCCATCTCAAGACCATGTGTCTCTCTCTCTATCTTTTCTCGCCTTGGACGCATGACCTTCACCGTCTCCCGTGACCTTCGGTGACCTTGGTGGGATCCACCGTGCGCTGACGTGACAAATAGCCTTCTCGGGTGCAACCAGGTGCTGTGGCCCGGCCCAATCTGTAAATCAACCACTCAAATCAGGACTTCAAGTGCGAAGTGCTGGGTTTTTGTAAGCCAACACCAACCACAGAATTCCATCCAAATGCCCTTGCCAAATCTGGCCAGTTCAGCTGGGGTCTCCGGATGGTGGATCTCTCCATGACCAGTGTCAACTGCAGAAGTTGAGCAGCATGCCATTTTGTGTGGACAAAAGAGCAATTGGTCTGATAGAAGGAACACCGCAATTGAAATTCTTTTCTATACTGCGCCTGCGCAATCGTGCAAATGACTGTTGAAAGGTAAAAGCCGAAGCTGCCGACCCCCGTTCCAATGTTAATGCTTCAGGGTCACAACGTCATGTTAACGGTCAATGCTTCGACCCCAATCGTGCGAGCCGCGCAACTGACCCCCGCCAAACCCTGATGCACATCAGCAGCCTGTTTTGATGTTCGATCGCAAGTTTTTCAGAAACCGGCGCTCCATTAAGCCACGCCAGGCTACAAGAAAGCACCCTCATACTCTACTGGGCTGGGCCAACTATATCCAACCATTCAGCAAAACAAAGGACGTTCAGAATCCTTTTTTCTAGCGAATCCTTGGAACCAATCACAAGTTTTTTCTTCATCTGCCAGGCCCTTTGAAAAGGCGCTAAGATCGACACTCCTGCCCTTTTCATCGCTACTTCCAGCCCGCCAAAACGGCTGCAGGCTTATAGTGATGTCGCACGTGCTTCAAGAACCAAGCAGCCACCTGAGGTGCGACAGCAGTCGATGGCAGGATGGGAGGATTTCCATGGAAGGGGTTTCATCCCCTTTGTGCCGGACAAACCCAGGGGACTACCCAGGGGGTTAAATGATCGACCACTGCAGTCAGGTGTGTCTGAAAATTTGAAAAAAGACACTGCAGTTTGAGTCGCTTCGGCCTCCAATCCAAATTTTTGCCGGAGGCATTGTTCAGTGAAAAGACACCGTAATCCAGAAATTGCCGTTTCAGGGGTTGCAAACATGGGCTCAAAATCCATGGACGGGGAAAGACGCCGTTTGGACACCTGAAGACGCCGTTTGGAAGCCTAACATGTCGTTTCTTTTTGGTTTCTGCCAGTTTCCGCTGGTCACCAAAAAAAAACACTGTCTTTGGGAAAACAACGCCATACCGGCATTGTCCCTTGACAGGGCAATTATTTGTGCCGTTTTGAAGATCCAGGTCCAGGTCTATAACAATTTTACATATTAGTGATTGTGCATGTGGAACCTTTGCGTTCAAGTAATTGCAAGTACAGGCGAACAATGGACAACAAGCTGGCAAATGTGTAAATTGAGCGCTGTTGTCTAATATGTTGATCATATCACAAGAGTCTCTGCCACCTACCACCCTACCGGTAGCCTTGTCGAGGGCCATTTGCGAATGGAAACTAAAAGTGTTGGATTTTACAGGGGAAACGCAACAACACAAAGAAAGCAACATATGTACGATAATTGACATGTTATTGGGTACAAATGACCCAAACATCCTGACAAAACATATGGCTTGGTCTTCCACATTCCAACATGGGTCTCTTTCAGTTGCCGTTCAATGAGGTCTATGGTTGCTCTCTCTCGCACTGCCCAACCTTGGCAGCATAGTCCTTTCCCAAAAAGGAGGCCAGCTCAGTTTCCACTTCCAAGGGTGGCTTCCTTGCCACCAGCATGCACACCGTGAACTCCGAGAGCATGTCACAGGTGCTTTGGTCGCTGGGCAAGCCATCCTGAGTGATTTAACGCTTGACCCGCGTAGAGGAACACGTCCAACCCACTTCTTGAGAAGTTCAACTCAATACGGTACGTCAATGACCCAGAAAGAATCAGCTATTGATTGCTATAGTTAATGGTATATATTATATATATATATAACATACTTAGATTTCAGCCCCAAAATAGCAGCTCATATCCCAGCCAGGCATCCAACTTCTGCAGCTTCCTCCCCACTTCTGCTTGAAGCTTCTTCTGCTCCTCCTCGGATAAGACCGGTGTCTGTGCCACCGGCACCTCCTTGGGAGCCTCCGGTGGCTTCTCCTTCCGTCGCCTCCGGTGCCCC